ATATGGGATCACTTGTGCGTTGTAGGCAAAGTGCGAAACGAAAGCTGTTGCTCGCGCATACACACACCCACATGCGCGTACACTCTGAGATTCACTAAATCTGCCCTTCTCTTCTAATGGCTGTGCATTTGACTTGGTAGCCATGCCTAAAGCCCCACTCAGCGGGAGCGCGGAGCTTTAAGTGCGCTTGCCTGAAACACCATCAATACTTAATCAGTCCATTACTATTCAGTGCATATTTAATCCTTCGGCACCTCTCGCGTCTCAGGCAAGGCGTTTAAAATCAACCATGCCAATGAACCCGCCTACTTATTCATTTATGGCTTTAGCAATTGCCTGCTATCATTTCTGTCATTTCGCTCAGAGGAACAAGAGCTCTACATGTATTTTGAAAACTTCCGCTCAGCCTTTGACGGTCTCAGTTATTTTTAATGGCTTTTTCTGCAGGAAGGTTTAGCTCTTTATTTAATGAGACCAATAGCATGGATTAAGGGGCTTAACCTTCTCGGTTGTGAGCGAAAACGCTTTCTTGTCTATATTACTTTCCCTTCATAGCTTGCTTTTTATTCTCTAAATCCTGGGATTCGTTGTTTGCTTAGGTTTTGGGCTTGTTAGTTCTGGTTTCTGCTATATTTAGATACATCCGGTCTCACTGTTAAATGGAATGAGGATGTTTGTATTAGTTTCAGTGGTCAACCATTATGGATTCTTAATGGCCGAGACCAATTTCTGCAGAGTAGACTAGACAATAAAGTGCTGTAATGAGATTCAGATCACACTGTACATTTAAGGCTCATGAAGCAATAAACTACTGCAGGCCTACATTTCCTGAGATTTTAACAGCGGTGTGTGTGTGTGTTACACATCATAGAAGACTGTTTAATTTATTGCCATACTGAAACCAGCAACACAAGTCACTTAGTAGCCTAATAATAAGGATTTCATGTGCATTGGTGGACTGGTCTTAGTGAGCACCAGACAGTGATAGGTGGCCTGAGAGGTAACCGATCGCATCCCCTAACCCCCCAACGCCATCCCCAATCAATCCCAACCCCCCTGCGCTCTTTACTTACTGATCTCTGGCCCTCATCCCAAGCAACACGTTCTTCTTTTACCAATCTCCCCACACAACAAACCTCCTCCCACTCATCAATCGAACCCACCAACTCTCTTCACTTTACGATTGCCACAACGATGATTGGCCTGAGGTAGTATTCACTTACCAATGCCTTGAGCAACCTCCACCCCCCCTTCAGTTACCGAGCACCACAGCGATAGGTGGCCTCAGGGTGTATCATTCCCGGGTGAAAATACTGTCCCAGTCTGCCACTGTTGCGACTGATTGGGAGTGCAGTGCACTATTCTGCGCATCAGAATGGCTCTGGTATTTAAATGTTTCTGTCGTGTCGCATCGTGTTTGGCACGGACAGCCAAGTTTCTTGTCGCTGGAATCTTGTCACATCGTATGTTGAAAGGACATGGTGTTATTGTTGCATTGCATTAGTGGTGCACAATATCGAAATAATCTAACGTTGCGATATTTTGTTATTATGTGAATATTATTATATTGTGATATGAATACTATTACATAAGATGACTTGAATACCTTTATTTGGAGAGGATTTATAATTTTAGATTTTATAAATTATACCTGTTTTATTATCTGCAAGCATTTATAAAAGCAATAAAGAAAACAAGTTTTCCAAAGAGTTTAACAATATTCAGACACACAGTAATTGAATAGTCAAATGCAAAATATTACTGCGTAGTCTTTGTTGTATAAATAATTCAATAAAATTAATCATTATTGAAGTTCCAAATGGTACTATTTCATCACATATGCTGCGATGTGGCTATTGCAAATGATCACATTGCAATATTGGTGCTAAAACGATATATTCTGCAGCCGATTTATTCTACAGCCGTACATTGTGTAATAATTATAGGGCTGCAACTAACGATTATTTTATTAATCGAATAAACTGTTGATTATTTTTTCCCAATTAATCGATGAATGGGATAAAAAAAGCAATTATTTCCACCCTTTTATTTGAAAAAGCTCATCCCTGAGCTGTTATAATAATAACAATAATAAACCAAGTAGTTTTTTCCTGTTTTTAATCCAAATATCTAAATATCTGTCAATCAAGATACATACTAGACACATAAAATAGCATAAGAAATTATGTATTGTTTTCTGAAAAAAAACCCACCTTAAAATTAAGTGATTGTTTGCTTAAAACAAGTTACATTATTTGTAAATTGGGTAAGGAAAAGAATCTTAGTGAGATATAATGTCAAACAGAAGTTTACCACTTCACATAAACGTGTAAGTGATCGTGATCTATATCGTGAGATGGATTTCGCCATGTTTACTTGCGGCCGCTCGTTTGCCTCATTCATAAAAGCAGAACCGGATTCATCACGTAAATTCTCTAGTTACTAAGTGGCTGGTGAACTTATAGAAGAATAGATTCAACGTCATAGTTACTTTATGTGTAATGTGTATCTGATATGAATAAAACACATCGGCAAACTATATTTGAATAGATTGTTAGACTTGTGTGGTTTACAAACTCTAACTGTATTGTTTTACTAGTATGTGTGTGTATTTACATGTCTAAAACATAAAGCATTAGTCAGTTAAACGCTACATAATTGTGATAAAATGACACGTCTTTCTCAGCGGGGTTAAGTTAGTTTTGTTTTCAAAAAAAAAAAAAGCACTTTTTTCTGACAGCCCCCTACTGACAGCTCAGCTCAGCGCGAGCTCTCTTTAACTCAGCGCCAGACAGCAATAAAGAAAACAAGTTTTCCAAAGAGTTTAACAGTATTCAGGTAAGCAGTAATTGAATAATCAAATGCAAAATATTACTGCGTAGTCTTCGTTGTATAAATAATTCAATAAAATTAATCATTATTGAAGTTACAAACGGTACAATTTCAACATTCCATATTCTGCGATGTGGCTATTGCGAATGGTCACATTGCGAAATTGGTGCTGAAGCGATATATATTGTGCAGCCGTACATTGTGTAATAACTGTGTAATACATTGTATTCAGGTAAAGTCAACCTGTGTATTGGTCAACAAACTGGTGCCTTCTATCTACTACCCTTGCACAACTCATTTGAGATGTGGTGCATTTTCTAAATGTATGGTTAGCTAACTCTGGCTGCAAGCCTCCTCACTAGGGATGTAACGGTATTGTAAATACCGTCATACCGCAATATTAAATTTTTTCGATATTACCGAAGTCGCATGACTCGGTAAAACTATAGGTCTTCTGAGAAAATTTGCTCAGGCGAATGAAGCGAACGGGAGGTAGCTGGAACTTCATTTCCCATCAGCCCCGGCGTGGCCATAATCCTTTGCGGTCTGTTGTCGCTACAGATCCAGTAATGCGGAAATGGAGTGTGCTGCTAGTAGCGGAGATGGAAAAAAAGATGGAAATAATCGAACCTAAAGCGGGTGTTGTCGCCGCGCGCGTGCTGAATAGCGGTGCTGTCGCGCGCGTTCTGATCAGCTGTGTTGTGGCGCGCGTATTGTAAAGCGCCGAGGGGGGGTTGAGCGCGCATACTCAAGAGAGGTGTTATCGCGCGCCTACTGAAGGGCTGGACTGGACGGAGGTTGTGTCGCGTCGCGGGGGCACTTTTGATCGTTTTGGAAGGGCATTTTCTATCCAAGACTAAAAAGGGCATGTGCACTGCACAGGTTGAGCCCTATGTGTGCACGTGCCTGCAAGTTGGGGAATACGACTAATAACAGTCATGGGGACTGCAGAAACACAGCACACTGTTCAGATTGATGCAGACATTGACTTGTACCGCAAAGAGATCTCTATCTCACTCATGGTTTGTCCTCTCAAGTGGGGGAAAGACAATGCACAACGTTACCCCACTGCTGTCAACATGGGCCAAGTCATATCTCTCTTGTCCCAGAATCCTCAGTCCCAAATGAGAGGGGTTTTTTCTGTTGCAGGGGACATTGTAAATACTCAGAGATACCAGCTTTTACCAGATTATAGTTATATGATAATTTTTCTTTAAACCCATCTCTATCTAAGTGAGTGATTAAATGTTAAATGTGATGAGTTTTCAACAATACTAAATTGAAACTTTATTTTTTTACATGGTTTAATAATTTTTTGTTATTAAAATTGAAGTTCCTGTTTCAAAGCTAACAGATAGATGGCTAATTTGTATGTCATTGACACTTTTGGCACTTTTTTGGGAGTATTTTCAAAAGTTTTTTTTTTCCTGTAAATGATTCAATAAATACCGTACCGTGACATTCATACCGAGGTATTACCGTACCGTGAAATTCTGATACCGTTACATCCCTACTCCTCCCTAGAAACATTCCTCAGTGATTTAGTGTTTCCTGAAGTAATGGCTTTCACCAACATTTGCAGGTCAGATTCAAGAAGCAGTTAATTTTCTAGTAAATTTCTTCAACGATGCGTTGGTCCCTTGGCAGTTAAATAACGAGTATTATCGTTGAGGAAACACCTCCTTGTTGGGATTCTCAGTCGAACATAGCAGTGTTTGGATGGCACCATGCACAGAACCTAAAGTGTTAACACTTTCTTAGCAAACAAAACTGCTCCAAACTTCCTTTTGTTTCTTGAGTCCTTTGGTCTGTGACATCTTTTCTCTACTCATCTCTCCTTCCCTGTGGTGTATGAGTTGGGTGGAGGGAGAGAGCGTGAGCTCACCTGACGATTAAGATGTGTTAAATAGAGCATATGTAATCATGTCTGTCTCTTGTCTGAGTCATGCATTTGTCATAAAGGTTTGACTTTCAGTCTTGCTGCAGTGGGAGAACATCTAGACCTTTGTGAAGGACAAAATTGAGACACTTTCAATCATATCTGTACATTTTCTTTGACACTTAATTAATGTTATGGTTGGCCAGTTTGCCATTTGTTAAGCTATTAAGGTTCTTACCTTAATTTCTCTCACACTTTCTCTCTCCCGCTCTCTCTCTCTCTCTTGCAGTGGGACTCGATGAAAGATGACAGAGGAGGTGATTGTTATAGCCAAGTGGGACTACACAGCTCAGCAAGACCAGGAACTGGACATCCGGAAGAACGAGCGGCTCTGGTTACTGGATGATTCCAAAACCTGGTGGAGAGTGCGTAACGCATCCAACCGCACTGGCTACGTCCCCTCTAATTACGTGGAGCGCAAGAACAGTCTGAAGAAAACCTCACTAGTGAAGAACCTGAAGGACACTCTCGGTAAGAAGTCTCACAGTTCATTGAAGCATTTCACCAATTCCAAAGCCCTGTCGAACTAAATCCATTCGACAGCCATGATATATGGGTTGTTGACATGACGTTACGTTAGTGACCCCTAGTTTTTTCTCAAGCATCAGACTTCAAACAAGTGTTTCATTTATTTCTACAAAAAGCCTACCTACTTGTCTACTACCCATATATTACATATAGAAAAGTACATCAACCTAAATCTCTAGAACTGTTGGCAGAGTTTACGCATCTTTTATATCTTATTCCAAATCAGCAAACTCTGACTATAAATTTAAAGCCTGCTCTCCTTTGTTTTGTTTTATCTTGAACTGGACGGGGATTTTTATAGCCACATGTGCTTTAAGGTTTAAGGTTCTGCTAAGGTCATGAGATAAATGGAGTTGTTTTGATCCAAATGTCACGGAAAAGAGCTTGTGCTGGTCTAGGCCTTGTACACTTTTAGTAGGAGATGACGTGTATGAAACACCCTCGCAGTTGCCATGCCCTACTTCCCCCATACGCCTCCAGAGCTTCATGCCTTTAACGCACAATCTGTCATCTCAAGGCACTAAGGAGGACTCTTGGGACTTGGGATTTTTTTTGCAGCGAGATGTGTACAAGCCAACAGCAAAAAAACAAACAAACTAGGAAGCAACTGAATGAGCTGAGCGCCTTTGATTGTGTTTTCTGTGCTTTATGAAAATGTAGGAATTTATTTTTAAGTACTTTGATCCTAAATCACCGCGAGGGTCCCATTCATTTCAGTGAAACATCTTAATATCTTATGCATCACCAAAGGCAAGTGAAGCATCTTACCAATTTTTGATTATTATTATATGTTTTTAGGGGAGAATTAAAATTTGAAATGGTCACTGTTTTAATAAAAAATGTTTCTTGTTCAGGAAATCAGTGTATCCCTTGCAGCTAGAAGTCAGGCGCCCTCTGCTGTCATTTAGATAAACCCACAATATTCTCAAATGTATGCGCATTCTGTTACTCTATACCAGGGGTGTCAAACTCAGCCCTGCACAGTTTAGTTCAAACCCTGCTCCAAAACTTTTATCTGTAGGTTTCAAACAAGCCTAAAGGACTTAATTAGTTAGATCAGGTGTGTTTAATTAGGGTTGGAACTAAACTATGTAGAGGTGCGGCCATCCAGGAATCGTGTTTGACACCCGTGCACTGTACTGTTTACACTAGGGGTGTCTAAACTCGGTCCTGGAAAGCTTGTGTCCTGCAGATTTTAACTCCAACTTGCCTCAACACACCTGCAAGGATGTTTCTAGAAAGCCTGGTTAGAGCTTGATTAGCTAGCCCAGGTGTGTCTGATTGGGGTTGGAACTAAACTTAGCAGGACACCGGCCCTCCAGGACCGAGTTTGGACATGCCTGGTTTAAACCAAACCTGGATTTAATACACTTTTGGTTTGAAAATCGTCAGATATGCATTTTATGCTCTGTGTTTTATTATTGCCTATTTCCGCTGAGTGGTACAGTATGGTAGGGTACAAGGCAGTACTGGTCACCTTTATCAGGCTTGCATTTCTACTCCCAAAAGGGTACCAATGGTTTGGTGGGTGTGGTACACGACAGAACGTTTCAGTGGATGTCATTCTCGCTTGAGAAAGTGTCAAAGTAAAACTTATCAGGTCGCAAAACAGATGCTATATACACATAAATACTTGTTTGAACATAATTTGATTGTAACTGCAGATAAATGTAACATGTATGAACACATACAGACCCTTACAGTCTCTGATATGCTACCAATTACAGAAAAACTATACACATTATACATTTAGGCCTTACTTGGCTTCAAAAACAACATGCAACATATAGCCTGCAGCCAGTGCAAACCTCTGATCTGCATCTTTAATCTTGACCAGCACATGTGACCTCTGTTAGAAAGTAATTTATTCATTCCAAGTTAGTCCAAAAGGTGGTGATAATAGTTAAACATGGCAGTTTGTTCGTGTTTTAGGTTGCTGAATGAATCATTTGCTCCTTTGTTGGTTCGGGCTTCTTCTTTGTTTTTTCACTCGTCATTCTCGCATTTGTCCATTTATGAAAGGATTGGATGTCAGAAGCACTTCAATAATTAGGCGCACGTTATTATCATCAGCACAAGAAGTTCGTTATTACAAATAATAACATGCAATTAGGGCTGCACGATTCTGGTTAAAATGTAAATACAAATTTTTTTTTTTTTTAAATCAAGATCACGATTTTCTCACGATACATTAGATGTAAAATAAAGGTTAATTTGAGTAGGCTATTATTATTGTTAATTCTCAAACATTTGGTAAAACAAAACTAATAGTATTAGGCTTATGTGTAGGTCTACTGTTGGCTAAAATGCCCAATGTTGTTGTAAAATGCCCAATGTTGTTGTAAAATGCCCAATGTTGCTGTTGAATCCTCTCTCTCCACGGGCAAACCTTATCTTCTGATTGAACTGGTCCAGTTACAATTACTTTGCTCATACTATCTAAATTTGCTTAGATTCAATTCCATAAGAGTGGGTTACAAAAGGAATTCACGGATACTGGTTGAAAATGTCACTGGGAAAGTTTGGAAAGAGAATGTGGAAAACTTTAAAAACTGCATGATCACATTAGAATTCCTATCGGTTTTGTTTTAGGTTTAGGTTTCTATGGGTTTTATTAAAGGTTCAATCCACACTGCCTGAACAGTGTATGTATGTATGATTTTTTTTATGTTTCCAAATGATTAATAGGTCTACATGAGAACTTGCTTATCCCTGTCTGGGCTTTTGTTCATCCCATATGCGATTACCATGAGCTAACAAGCTCTGAATAACATTTTGTTATTTTGTTAATGAGCTCTGAACTGCAGGAAGCAGCGAATCGATAATGCCTCCTCTGCTGCGGGGGGTGAGACGCAGAGAGCTTTAATAGCTACTGAAGTTGTTAAACACATTGCATTTTCCCCATGCAGACACCCAATGAAACTGGAGTAGGCCATCATTCAGCTTTCTTGAAAATGGTGTTGCTTTTTACCTGCTTCCTCTCCTTTGTGTTTCATTGTATGTGTGTGAATTCCAGACAGGTTCATTGGAAAATGAAAGCAGGTTAGGCAAGTGTTGAAATTAGACTCCTCCTCGTTCTGATTTAATCTGTCCGTCCACAACAAAACAGACTGGATAGATCACCTTAGTGAGGCTGATTGTGAAATTATTCCGAGTTCTGGTTACATTAGTATTCCCCCATAGTCTGTGAAACGTAGATAACAGTGAACCAGTACTTGTACACCTAGAGGAAGGTCATGAATATGCGACCGTGACCTTCTAAGTTAATTCTGCAATGGGAATTAATTCCCACTAAGGGGCCACCAGGGATCTCTGATTGGTGGTTGTCACGGATACCTGCACTCAAACCCTCCCTCCATCCTGTTGAGCTCCAAACCTGTCACTCTTTGAAGATCAGAGGATCTCGCTAAAGAACTGCCAGCGCACACTCACACACACACCCACTTCCTCTTGGCACCTCTGAGTTGTGGAGCTCACACACGCTTACCATCATTCCACTTCCATCTCACGAGAGTTGTGCTGTGAATTGGCGTTCCCTAATAAAACACTCCATCAAGAGAGTCAGAGCAGCTCTGCAACATTAGCAAAAGACCTTTTCCAGGGCAGTTGCTCAGCTGCTGCACATTGCCAACTTTGAGTTGATTTTAATGGTGAAATGTGCTTTTAAAAGATGCACTTTTGTCCATATTGATGACGGTACAGCTAGCTTGACCCCATGGGTCCACAGTAACGTGTTTTAGGAAGCACCATCTGTGATGATGGGGCATCTACACTACCTTACAAAAGTCTTGTCGTCAATCCCAGTTGTAAGAGCAACAAGTAATAACTTGAGTTCACTTGATCATTTGGAAAAGTGTCAGAAGGTAGATTTTTCCAATGAATTTGTTGAACTGCGTCCCAATCATCACAAATACTGGCTATTACTTCAAGAAACACTAAATCACTTAGGGAACAGAAAAGTAATAAAAATAATATTAATCCAGAAAGTCATTAAAAGCAATCCTGAACAGAAAGGTTTTTACCTGGGATTTAATATTGAAGTTAGAGTCCACCTTTCTTGCTTCTTGTCATAGTTTTTGACATTCTTTTTTTTCACTGCAGTGCAATATGTGGAGAATCGCTGTGAATATTCTTCATGCGCAACATTGTTTTTGCCTAATAGAGTCAGGGCTAAATTAAAGCTAAATGGAGCCTGTAGTTTTACTGTGGGATCCAAACTATTCTCGTATATTCATTCATTCATTTTCTTGTCAGCTTAGTCCCTTTATCAATCCGGCGTCGCCACAACGGAATGAACCGCCAACTTATCCAGCAAGTTTTTACGCAGCGGACGCCCTTCCAGCCGCAACCCATCTCTGGGAAACATCCACACACACATTCACACACACACTCATCCACTACGGACAATTTAGCCTACCCAATTCACCTGTACCACATGTCTTTGGACTGTGGGGGAAACCAGAGCACCCGGAGGAAACCCAGGCGAAGGCAGGGAGAACATGCAAACTCCTATTCTTGTATATGAGGAGTTAATTGAATGAAGGGATATATGGGTAATCATTTAGTGTGGAGTTTAATGGGCAGAATAATGGTGGCGCCATTATTGCAGCGTTGATGGTTGGATGATTTTGCCTGTTAACAAGTCAAGTTTTATATTGGATAGAAGACATAGGTAAACTGTTGGTGGAAAGGTTAAGGAGAAAGGGGTCATTGTTTTCAGGAAATGTGAGTTAATGTGCAGTTATTTGACAGTCTTGTAAATGAATTAAGGGAAAGTCGAATCAGAGCTTGTAGGTATGCAGTTTTGAAAGTGCCTTTGTGGAATGGTGTGTGAATATTCATATATGACTGTGTTGGAATTGCCAAAAAGGAGTTTTCGTTATTGTATAACTTGCAGCCGGTTTGCGTGCTGTGTTTTGTTGTCACTTGAGATGATCCAGCTC